GGGAAAGGCGCGCGCGATGCCCTTTTCATCAAAAGTTGTGATAAACAACAAATTGATAATTTTTTTTTTCGTACCATTAACACACGGGTTTAGATTGCGTCGAAGCAACAGGTTTTTGGTAACGTTAAACGCACGTATATCCACTCGGTTTATAACATTATTAAATTTATACACTTAACATAATATTATAGGAAGGTACATAAAATCGTTTAATGACGTTCTATAATAACGGTCGTGCGTACCTATATATATATATATAATACGAGTTTTATGTCGATTAATAATTTTTTCGATTAAAATACTTTTAGGCGTACCTATACGTAATGTGCACTCGTATACGTACATAATATATAAATATATATATTATGTATATATGATAAATGTACCCATATACTTTAAGGCCTTCGTCGAGTATTCAGATAGGTGTAGGTACCTACATTATATTATGTTCAAGTCTCTCGGTGCCATACGTCGAGGTCCACCTCGATTATATTATATTGGTGTAAGAAAATCGAAAATTACCTACACACTAATCAACTACAGGGGGGGACCTATTATACACATAACGCCACAATAATATTATATATATAGTAATATTATACCATATCGTAATGGTCGTACGACTTAAGTCGCACGTTAATTCGATAATTCATGCGTTACTCGACGACCATTCGTAATTAGCCCGAACGTTTGTTCCCGACAACTAAAACGAACATTTACATGTAAATGTGTTTTTTTTTTTTTAAACGTCCGCAGTTAAAAATCCGAATGTCAACTCGCCAGTATTAATTTTATTATATTGTACGGCGTTGTTTTCGAATATAGTTTTCGATATGATAATATTATGCAGAGACGACGCAATAACGAGTGGACAATTATTTCGAATACGTTTCGTTCGACATAATAATATTAATGCGTTTTCGCATTAATCATATTATGTAAAGTGTTCGGTATTGGTAATATGGGTATGGTAAAACGTGGTAATATGAGTATGGTAAGACGTGGTATATGGGTATGCGTGTAAGTATAGCAATAATGTGGAGTGTCCTACGGTTATTGCGTTGGTTTTGAAAATTACGATTTAAAAATATTATATATACTAATTTTCCTTGTTTTTTAAATGCCGAAATTTCACAGTTAAACGCAGTCTCGTTAGATGTACTCCTAGAATAGCCTATTACTAATAACCGAGTTTCGTTTCCGACGAGCCAAAAAAAAAAAACAATATAAATCGAATAACATAAATCACGAGCTAATAATATAACGAAACTCGAGCTGCCAGAGAACACTTCCGATCCACAATATTATCACATTTTGTGGGCAGACCAATTTAGTTCTAAAAGATGGAACAGCTTTCTCTTCGACTTCACGCCGAACATTATAATATATTACTATAATAACTATACACTGATCATTACAATTGATTTTGAGTAGGACGGAAATGGAATAATATGTATCGATAAGTATTAAATATAATACGTAATTAATAACACATAATATAACAACACAAAATTATATAATATTGCGTAAAAAAAACGATTTAATCGTAAATTACGATTGCACTGCGGACATGTAATACTAAAACAACATGAAAATTAATACTTAAAACCAACTTACGTCGTCGCCCGTGTGAACATCGAATTTTGTGTTCAAGTCGCAAGTCCTGTAATGGTCTCGTAAGATCGCGATCTCGTGGGAAGAACAGGACTTATTTCCATTAATCGTAAGTAAAATATAACCCTATAGTCGCCTATAAAATCACTATTGTTATTATTATATGGAAACAATTGTGACGATTATTATATAAACATATAATGCAGCAGTCCTCGTTAGGATTTTGGAAAGGGCAGAATAATATTTTTGAAAATCACTTGGGGGCCTCATGCAGTAAATAAATTTAAATTTGTGCATAATATTAACCGAAGACAGATTCATGGGTTCTAGATACATTTTGATTGATAATAATATTGTAAATTATAAAAGTTAAAAAAATATTATTTTAATAGGTTGTAAGTATTTTATTTTATTGACTCTAGTTTAGAATTTTGGATTTTAGTATGTAAAATTCGGTTTTGGCCGTGGGGACCTCTGATATAATGTAATATTTAAAAGGTGATTATCCAGACATGCTCACCCGCATTTTTCCTTTTAACAATGCATTTATTCAAATTTGGATTTTTGAGATTTTTAAGTATACTACTTTACCGTCATATATCTTATAATGTTTACCCTTGTTATGACATTTAAGGAGTGTCCTGTCTATGTATTTAAAAAAAAAAGAATAAGCTTGTATCGCCACAGGGCACTCCTTAAATGATAAAAAAAAAAATGTTAGCGTCTGGAGATGTGGTCTTTGAGTAGGTACATTATGTATACTTGACAATTACAAAAATCCAAATTAAAATAAATGCATTGTTAGAGAATAAAAGGGGGTGAGCACGGTCGATGGATACTGTACTGTATGAATATTGAATATATAATATTATGTGTTATGTGCCCATAAATAATATTATGTTCTCAGAGCAGTGACGGTTAGTGTAATTGCGTGTCTATACAAGACGAACAATAAACGAATATAATACCTCGAGTAGGTAAGTAAAATATTTTACGCAATGATAGCTGTAAACATGCTTTATTGGTTAAACATAACAATATAATAGGTACCTACATACCACTATGTTATATCATACAAACCGTAATCGATTTGAGCAATTCCACAATAGTGTACGTTATGTTATTTTCACACGTGCTTTCAAAAGTCATTGATAATAATATTACATATTTTTATTTTACGTAACGGCCATGACGAGATTATATTAATAACATGTATTAACGCACACGCTATGGCGTCGCATATTATTGTAATAAATATATTATTTAGGTATACGTGACACGAGGAACGGACAAATAATAAAAACAACAACACCCGATGTGTTTCAATTAATATGGTATGTCGGGGGACGATCGATTTGCATATTATAACGAACCCGATTTATCGTGAATATCACTATAATATTATAATATATTATTGCAATCAATAACGGACATTTGGGTAACTAATCAAAACGACTACCAGGTATGAGTCCTAATTTGTAATAAAACAAGGGCCTCACAACGCGAGCTGCCGACCTCCTATGTGCAAACCACCTGTTATAATATTATTTAAAGTCGTCGTGTGTTCATTACGACAGCGTTTCTTGTGAAACGTCGTTTAGGTGTAGTACAAACTCGGTAAAAAAAATTTAAAAAAATAAATATCATTTTCTCCTACGCAAATACCACATCGAAAAGTATTAGCGTGGCGTCCGAGTCGCTATATCTGTCACGTGCTATGGTCGTCGTATGTAACTAATTGCAGAGGATAATATTACAAGCTCGTACCAGTCACAATATAATATAACATTATAATGTATACGGGGACCTACCTAGGTATATTATAATAATATATTATGGTCACTGGTGACGTGGTCCTGCGCAGTAGTGTTTCAAAATTTGAACATTAATCGTGCAGTGCACAAAAGTGAGTAGATTATGCGTATACTGCAGGGTGATTTTTTTCTAAGCATGCTCGCCCCCATTTTTCCCTTTATCAGTATATATTTTATTCAAATTTTGATTTTTAAAACGCTCAAGTATAGCTACAGGTGTCCATATATTTTCCATTGTCTGATATTTACTACTTAAGGAATCGTCGTCTCAGAATGAAAAGGTTCTATTATAGTCATCGTTCAAGAGAACGTTTTTGAAGTTAGCCCGTACCTACCTATCATTCAAGTATGAATTAGAACCTTTTCATTCTCTGTATCTCATTGGATAATCAACGGATCGATACGATTTCAGGATTGAATTATACAACAACAACAAATTTAATATTAATATGCAAAAAAACCATTTTTCAAAAAAATTGATTTAGAACATTTTCATTCTGAGACGACGGAATGCCTTGTGGCGGCGATACAATCTTTTATTTTTCAAATGAAAACCGCCCTTTTTTATTCCAAATTGTTTAACGGATGATTTTTTTTCTTGAATAATTTCAATGTATCTAGATAGTTCAACATTTTAAATAGTGGTTACCGCATACGTTATTATATTATGATTCTTATACTGAGGATAATAATCCTTAAGAAGATGGACAAGTGGGTACCGCTCTGCTGTACAGTAGATGTAATGGATGTGTTATATTTGAATACAATGATAAACCATCATAAATGAAAAACGGTTCCGAGCGGTTGGCGTAGTCCTTATAATTTTATTATTTTTTTTTCTTTTCCATGGTGATAAGCAAATCGTTAAAATCCATTTTTAGCGGTTTTTCGTAATTTGTCGGTAGTTTTTCTCGACGCTTTCTAAAACTACTTGGAATTTTCAAATTTGACCTCCCAAAAGTACCAACTAGGTTCACTTTTCCATCAGAAAAGATTCTGACCCCAAAAATCGAAGTATGCTGAGAAATGTCGCTAAGACAGAAAAAAAAACACATTATTGTAAGACTAATACATTCTTTCGCTCCGCTAAGAATGTAAAACGAGACACAAGATTTAGGAACAATATATTTATTTATAAAGAAACAATATATATTTGCAATCATTTCAGTCCATGCATGGCGGACGTGCACTCCTCCAAACATAACAATAACAATAGTAATTTGTCACGATGAACTGCAAGACTCACTGGAAAGTGTAAGGAAGACTGTGAAGTGTGAGTGTCTCTGCACTGATAACAATTTTCGAATCGAACCACGACGACTTGGCACCAAAACGTAGAGAAAATACCGTAATCGTGAGTGACGGTGGACGGTACGCACCGAGTGGATGGACGTGGATGCCGATCCAATCTTGCGGAAATGGATCGAGGGCGAAGAAGAAGGTGGAAAATACGGGGAGGAAAATAAATCCCCTTACAGGATCAGTAAAAATGCTGATCACTATATAGGTCCGAAGAGCACAGCGCCGCCGCGGATGGTTGTGCTTGGTTTTAACCGGTCAGCAGTGGTCACCTCAGTTGAGCCTCCCAAACCTGTTGATCAGTTCCTTCACAAATCCTGGACGGGGTGTTCTTTTCTTCCTCGTATTTTCCACCTTCATCTTCGCCCGCGATCCATCTCCGCAAGGTTGAATCGGCATCCACGTCCCCCGGGTGACGTCACTCGGTGAGTACCGTCCACCGTCGCTAACGATTACGGTTTTTTGTCTACGTTTAGGTGCCAAGTCGTCGTGATTGGATTCGAACATTTTGATCAGTGCAGAGACATTATTGCCCTTCTTGTCAATAACCACTTCAAAATCAACTGTTTCCACTGCAGCCATCATAATGGTTAACTGTATTGCTGTAGACGCACTGTGAAATAATAATGGACAATTATTGACAAATCCGTTTAATATAATGAATCAATTATTAGTATGGTTGTTTTTAAATAATACGAACCGATCACTATGAAATTTTATGACGAAAAATTGCGAAAGAACAATGAATAATATTATACAATATTCAACAGAATTAAGCGTCGAGATACGATACGAGAATGGTCATATATTTCGTTAATAATAAGTTTATAACTTTGTGCACGGATAGTTAATGTATTAAAATAATTATGTTGGCATGGTGTTGTGTACATTTTATTCGGCCATAGTTATTTTTGTTTAAAAAAAAAACAAATAAATAAAAACATATTTTATTCCCATACAGATATTTTACATTCATATTTAAGATTCTTAAGGGGAGGGAATATTGAGTTTAAAACGATGTATGTCTTTTTTTTTTGTTTCTGTATAATATACACGACATAAAGTACCTACCTGATTTTCGATATTTTACTTTGAGGGTGAATATAAACAATCAGAGAAAATGTCATGTGGGTAAACGTTCATATGTTTTAGAGTTACACCAAAAACCAAAATCGATCAATACAATTAGTGTAATATACGAAATCCGATTTTGCGTAAAAATACACGTTTTTCCTTAATTTTTATATTGTTTTTTCCGGCGTTTTTGATATACTATTTTTTTTTAAAATTTAACCTCCCGAATGTACAAACTAGATTCACTTTCCCATCGAACAAGATATACTGTTGAAGAAAATCGAAGCAATTTTATTGTCCCAAACGGTGGTGAAAGACACAACAACAAAAAATAAAATAAAAACACACAGCATTGTAAAATCAATACATTCATAGCTTCGATCAGAATCTAAAACGGTTTTAAAAAAATATACTAATTATTTGTATTGATAGATCAAAAGAAATTATTAATATTTTCAAACTGTCTAAGCCCCCATATAACTACTTAGCCAATTATTACCATAGACATATTGTCCTTATAGTGCACAAAGCTATATATAACTCAAAAACTACTCGTTGAAATTTTGAAGTAGATATTTCAAAATTAACAAAAAAAAAATTACTTAAAATAATTTTAAATTAAAAAACAGAAGTTTGTATTGCCACAAGATCACCCCTAAATAATAAATGGTAGGTACAAAGAATCTCAAGCGTTCAAAAATATTATGTTCTTCGAGTGTATTTGAAAATTCCAAATTCTCTGTATATATAGATACTCGTATTCCCCTCTTGTGCGGACACTTATTAAAACGTCTATTGTCTACTGCGTGTCCGTTTGATTCGCGAGACGAACGATTGATCGGAAAATCGATCGATCTGTGAACAGACATAATAGCAGACGTACGTGCAGCTAAGTATTTTATATTGTCGTGCTCTGTGTACCTATATATTGTCGAGTCACACACTTTGTGGATTTTCATAATTATCATTATATTCGTATAATACTATAACGATGTCGTGTTAAAATAAGCGTATTATCGCGTATGGGTTTCTTTTTTCCCATCACGGCGACTTCAACAATAATATAATAAACTCACCATTACCGATTTATTGCGTGTGCCTCGCGTGCCCGTAAGCCGCTGCAGTCAATTGTACACACAATTTACGTTTAATCCATTACAATATTATTATATTGCACCAGGTGCAGCGTGTGCGCGTGTAGGTAAAAAAATAAAATAAAAAATCGTGTATAAATCACTGAAAAAAAATATACAATATACCTAAAGAATACTACCGGACACGCATTCGGGTCGCACACCGCGGTAAAAAAAAAAATATAAAAAAAATGAATTTAACGACTTTTTACTTCCTCCCCCACCCCACACCCGGACACCGAGTTCGAATCCGTTCGTCTCCGCCGGCCCGGGCTAGTTAATGCGTCCCGTTTTGTCGAACAGGTCGTTAAGGTGTGAAATTAATTTGTTATTGCCTTGATAATAATAAAAGTATATTATCATTTAGTATGCGCGTATGAAGACGTATTGCGGGTAGAAAGCCATTAGCGCTGCACCGCCAAGTCCGAAAAATTCCGGGCAGGAGAGAGAGAGATTAACCACCGCCGGACACAACGGGACGAATATAATAATAATAATATAATGTAACTTCTATAGAGGCGAGATCTCCGGCGATGGAAAAATGATTTATGAAGTTCGGACGCGTCCGACGGAAATCCAAGAGTAGAAAATGAAGTCTCCGACCACGTATGTCATTATTAACGCGGTCGTCGTCACTGTTGTTGTTGTTGTTGTTGCATGACAAAGTACCTAAGCAATCACACACACACACACACGCAGCGTGCCTATGCAGAAACTGTTAACAAAAAAAAAAAAATAAGATTTGAACTAAACACACGACGAGACGGGGAGGGGAAAAAACCGACGAAAAAATACAAAAACGAAAAACGTTTTGAGACTTAAAAACCAGTTTTGTCGGCGAGGTTATTAGGATCAACGGACGACGAACAACGATTTACTTCAAAGGACTTCTTTTTCGTCGACGGTTACCGCGGCGGTAACATGGCTATCAATAATCCACGGTATACTTACCAAATATCAATATATATATGATTTATTATGTTATACTTAATTTTAATTTGATAGGTATGACGTGTTTTTTTGAAACTCACTCGTTTCAACACGTTTCGCATTGATAAATGGAAAGGGCGGAGCATATTGGCATACTGCGACTGCGATAATAATATCAAATAATATATTTTATTACGCCGAAAAGAGCGAAAAAATATACTCATTTTCGATAATTATTTCGGTAAACTCGTTTGAAAAATATCGGTTCGACCACGAAACCTGCAGACGTCTTGTCATTCGTTTTCAGTGTGAATCCATGAGCAAGTTATCGTCGAAACGATTTGTCGACGCACTCGGTCGTTAAGCGTCACATTAATAATATAACTCGTCGTCGGATATTAAAATAATATTATCGAGAGCCGACGTGACGATGATTTATTAGGTGCATAATATTATTATATTTGAACTGCGGCCGATATTAGTTTTTCGACTGTTATTATTATTAATTGGTTTATACCGTCGGTGTTTAAGCGTCAATTAAAATCAAAAGTTCGGTAATCACCGTTCGTAATAATTGGATTTAAGTGTCAAACTGCAGCACACTCGTCGTCGATGCGGTGTTACGCGTTATGTAGATATTATATGTTAGCAGCTATAAGTCACCACCCATGACCCATTGCCCTCTTCGGAGATAAATTAAAATTTTTAAATTAGGTAAGAGCTGCGATTTCCGAGATGTGAGGTAACGCGCGATTCGGCGGCTTTATGATTTATCATAGTAATAATATATTAATATTGTTCTATTAGGCGCAATAATTACAAACGTTATAGCGACGTGGGAGAAATTCGTATGGGCGAGTCCGGTATAAGGAGGACTCCACAAAGTCGCTCTTTTTAGCAGTGCTAGTCTGGTAATTCGATTTACAATAATTGTATATTATATAGAGATCTCTGAGACCTCTGAACCAACCATTTTGGGTTCTAATCGAAACGTTTTTAATAATTAATCATTAAGCTCGTGCATAATATTGTCGAGTACCTACGTATTAAAATTACCGTTAATTGTTGCGACGGAAAGCGAAATATTCATCGGAAAATTCATTTTCTGAACGACCAGTCAATATAATACTGAAGTTATTGTTCTTATCAAATAGCTAATAGCATGATATTCAAACGCAATTATATAGTCTATTGTACTACAATTTCTCACTAAATCTAGTACTCTCCCACACGACACGCCCACCCACTCGCTCCTTTAAAATTGAGGGGCAACTGCCCTTCAAAATCACCGTTAACACGCCACTGTTATTCAATGTAAGGGTTACTCATGTCTCATGTCTCATGTCGAACTGTATAATAATATGATATATGCACTAAAAGTCTACACAATCCGTTTTAACTATATCACGCTGTACACACTCATATCAGTGCGGTTTAAGACTTATAACCATCATGGTCGGTCGGCATATTACACCGACACGCAACGATATATATTATTATACTGGGTGATTCTTTTATCAAACAACACTCATTATTTCAAAAAGTGTAAATTTTTTTGAAGATATTTTTTTACATAGTTTCAAGTCGCTTATAAAACAACTTTCTAAAGTAGAATATAAAATTAAAACCCTATGTTGTCATTCAAAAAAGTAAAAAACTTAAAAAATTATAAGGATAAAAAATATTTAAAAATATAATTTTTTAATAAAAACGTTGTTTTATAAGCGACTTGAAACTATGTAAAAAAATATTTTCAAAAAAATTTACACTTTTTGAAATAATGAGTGTTGTTTGATAAAAGAATCACCCAGTATACTATAATATAATATCAATAACATTATCATAATACACTAGTAAAAGTTATGATACTATATGTAGATAAAAACTAAATGCGCGTAACGGGTTTTCTTTAAAGTATCGGCTTGTAAGTGTATAATATTATATTACTCGAAACGCTCAATATCCGTAAACCATGATCGTAAACTCCGTTTGAAAATAATCAATCGTGACCGCAATTTGTTTTCAAATTTCACATACAAACCGGTAGTCCGCGGCCCGTATACATAATATAACGACTATACGGAGTGGCACAAAAACCCATTACGCCCTATATAATGGATATATAGCGGCTGCAGAGTATCGCTAATATTATATTATAATATTGTAGAGGGCGCAAAATACGGTAAACGATTCCGAACATAATTATTACATTATAAATAGTATACCTGCAGCAGTCAACGTATATGCGATGCTCACCGGATCTATATTAATATGTGTACCTATTTATTACACGACGTTTGAGTGTCGATTTGCATGTACCTAAACGGTCGGAAGAGGATCGACCGTACAGCATAATATAATATACACAATTCGTCCTATATCGAGAGTCGTGATGTGAGCTCTGAAATTGAAAGTTTCGCGGGCCCGAGGCCGTCGGTAGCTGCTGCA